TTCCAGTTTGTTTTAGCATTGTATATAAAGAATATTTAACAGCACTAGGTGTATTCTACCTGTACTTACTGTATCAACGTTACAGTGTGCTTTTCTGGGTTTTTCAGATACTTATAACAGGGTCCAGTATCATTGAAGAGAGTTTTAAACCTCAGGTTAGTGGCACTTGCTCAAAATGTCACTGACATCATTGTTTAGGATAGATTATTACTGTTGGCCTTCTTGCACAAAGTGTGACCCCAGTGTGATTTGAGATGTGTATCTATTGGGAATAAGTCCAAAAATGATTCCTGCAGTGCAAAGCAGCCCCGTTTTTATAGACAAACTATCTAAAATCCCACTTTAATCAGTCCCTAAAGAATTTGTAGGTTACAAGCTTAACACTACATTTCTTTCTCGGTTTCTCAGCAATTTTTGAGATCCATGTAAGTTTCTTTTTCACAAGGCAAATCCTATGAGGAGTTCAACTGAAGACTCTGCTGTAGCAGTCTGAAGAATATAAACAGCATTTTATTGTCCAGAGGGACAGGCCTATGAAAGAAACGAGTGCCTTATCTCAGGCCAGCAGCTCTGTAATTCGTTGCGATGATAAAGTGCCAGAGCGGAAAACGTTACAAGGCTGGCACAATCCAAAGACGGATTAGTTTTTTTGACATAAGCTTCCTGAAAAACTAATCAATCAGTCCATGCTGTATTATCGGAATCCTGAGATTAAGGGATGTGCTTAATCCCCCGGCATGTTTTACGACACTTTCTCTAGCGAGTGTGTCTTTAAATATTAAATAAATAACGCAATCAAACATAATTGAACTTGGAAAAAGCCCCCAGAGAAGGAATTTCTGTACATTTTATTATGAGGATTGTCCCCTGACTCACGCTGTCGCCCTTACTAACCATAACTAGCCCTAAACTTAATTTAAGTTTTTACTTAGAACCGTCATCTCAAAACTGAAGTAATCTATTTGTGATACTGAAGCTTTTCTTAAATTATTGCTTTTTTCTTGAAGACATTGCTTTGAATGAACTGATGGATAAAGGATTAAATACACAGATTAAACTTTCCTGAAATCAGAATAGGAGAGAGATTTGTCAGGTGGAAGCCTCAAAAAATTATTGTGTCCCACCTTATAACATCTGCAGTGCTTTTTAAACAAAATAGTATATTTCACTGAAGTTTTATTTTATTTAATGGCAAAATAGGTTCCATTTTTAACATTCTCCAATTTAAATATTCTGTGTAAAAGTATAAATAAAAATTAGAATACTTAGGCACACCTCGTCATCATATTATACAATGTATTACCAGTATCTTGCTTCAGGGGGGTGAAATGTCTTTTTGCATTGTTGTATTGGCTTACTTTGAAATAATATTTGGCTGCAAGGTTTTGTATTTATATTTTACAATTTGCTACTATTTCCTATGTGACAGATCATCCAAAAATAATTATAAATACATTACATTGATATAAGGTTTGCTTATAATTCTTGCTACTTTTCATTGATTACAGTAAATGTTTTAAAGAAACAGTGACATACTTAAAGGATTTGTTAAATAACTGATATTTTGGTACCGACAAATATAGCTTCGCAATTTCATTGCCAGTTCAGAAAAGCCTCTTTCAAGATCACAGGTATTTACGCTCTGTTATGATTTTTATTAGAAAGATCACACCACTGTAGAAGAGCTTACTTCCCCAATGCTAAAGATAAAGTATAACATAACTGTTAAAGGAGGTAGTTTACTGGTCTATACAGAAAAGTTAGGCTGTCACGGCAGTAAAAATACATGGCAGGGAAGATGCTTTGATATTGTTAGCTGGTTGAGGCATTTCGTCCAAATCATACTGGGTCTGGTTTAACTTTACACTCAAATGCAGAAATATCAATAGGCTTTTACCTGTGAATCACATACGATATTGTATAGATCTCCTGTTTAATGACAAATTGCACAGGAGTGTAGAATCAGTGACTTAGATATTTTTTCATGTAAAAAACACAAAACTAAGAGTTAATAACTGATTAACAGAAACATCATAACAAAAATGATTTTTCTTAAATAAGAGAAATATTATAATAATGTCCACAGCTTCAGAACAGTTGCCCCCACTTTCTGACTGAAATGACAAAAATAGCAAAAAATGATGGGTTCATAAAGAATTCTATGCCACACTGTATGCTTTCTGCAAAACCAACATTAGAAAAAATATCATTTCAAGTTGTATTTTACAGCCTGACAGTCAGACTGGAGCTCGGAGGTGCATGTTCAGAATTGCACTGCCCATGGGTGTGGCCCCAAAACAGGATCAGTGTCAGAAGGGGTTAACAGTGAAACAGTGCCGATTTTGCTCCAGTCATTCTTACTGTGGAAAACAAGACTGAGATGCAGAGATCCCAACTGTCGGAAACATGAACACTATATGTCACTTAAGAACGTAAGGCAGGTAACTAACTCACCTGCTAAAATTACATTTATTACAGAATCTCAGTTCTGTGGTTAAAGTTAGTTCTTTCTCGGTTTCCTTTGGTGTAGGAAACATACTCTCTTCTATATACACACACCGTAATTTTGTCACTTCCGTCTGCTACATGTGCAGGTAAGAGATATACTAATAATTTTATAGCCACTAGGCATTGTTACTAGAACCATAACTTGGGTAAGACAAGAGTCCATTGACAAGACACTGTCCACTCATGGTAGTTCATTTCTTTGTTTTCTTCAACAACATCATTTTAATTAAAAGGTAGTTTAGTTTTAGTTTAGTAATCTTTGGTTGCCACTATTTTTAAAAGGATAAATCTTTAAGACAAGCTCTTCAGAATAAGAGGGGATATTGTTACACTCTACTGCCACCAGAAGTACTGAAGTGTGTCAATCTGGGAAGAAATGTGAGAACATGATAAATTAGGAGTCCATGCATATTCACAACCTCACAGCAGAGCGTTCCAGATATTCACCAAAGTGTTCAGCACACATTCTGTGGCATAGATAGAGGTGCTACAGGATCACAAGTGTAATTCAGCTACTGTAAACGCAGTTCCAGTTATTATGCATCTTCTTACAGAACTGAATACTGTGTGTTCAACATGCTATACATACTGTATCTATAGAGACAGAGCGAGAGTTTGTGTTTTTGTAATAAGTTGCCTGGAAGTTAAGTAATTCAGTATTCCTTAAAAGATACAAGAGATTGATAAAAGTGGATATTAAATAGATTTAAGAATAATTTTCTTAAATCAATTCACCAGGAGCCACGTGGATGATCATTAGTGGATCATCAATATTGATGAGTTACATGATGTGATTAATAACTGACATTATAAAACCTAAGATCAATAGTACAGGATTGAGCAATTATAGTAGATTATAAATGTTTTTCAATACAGGACCTTTTCTCTAAATGCATGTATAGAATTACTCTTAATCTCATTAAACTGAAGTTACAAACGTAAGATTAAATCACAGCTAACAAAATGTGCGGGACATTTACAGTGTAAACAAAACACTCAGGTCTGTGTATAGTCTATAATACTTTCTTTATTCAAAATGCATGTAATTTTATTCCAAGCATGAAGTGATATGAAGTATTGTTTCATTATTCCTATTGCCTTGTTGTCTGGAGAACTTTGTGTGGAGTGAACACGTAAGAATAATGACAAATGAATGAAGAAACACGTAATACTGCATATGTAAAATATATACTGTACAGTATTTCAATTGAAATATAGAACAAAATTGTCCTATTAAAGAGTTGGTCATTACACATGAGAGATGTAAGGATGTTAAAATAATCACAACGCTGTAATGGAGTATACAGTAACTTACGTAATATTGTACTTCGATTTGATGGCCCACTAATTAAGATTCCTTGAAAACATTAGTCTAATCACTTTCACAAAGAGCACGTCCGTCCATTCTACGCTATATGGTAAGATATTCTAGTCCCTGAAATTATTTTTTATTGCACAGTTTGGAGAAGTCCAGTATGTATCCTGTGAGCAGCAACTGTCAGGACCTGGTACACTGCTGGTCCACATTCAGTGCATAGGCTACTGTCCAGGAAAGGACTTTGAGGAAATGTGTCTCCAGTATCGAGAGAAACTTAAGCCTCTGACTGTACTACAGTCATTTCACAGTTTTACAGTTTTCAGAAAACAAAAACAAAAAAAAAATCTGTTAAGGCAGACAAATGTACGTACATACTAAAAAAAGTGTGGTTTCATTAAAAACACTGCCTTTATTTTGCTGTGCGACAGCATAATTTGTTTGATGATCTTTTATCCAGTTAAACTAATCAGCATCTGTCTTTTATAGTGTATACAGTGGTTTTTGAATTAATTAATACTGTATAGACAAAATATTTCTGTAAATATTCATTTGATGAAAATTACTTGAAGCCTGGTAGTGTATAATCTTTAGTGTTTCAAAAAACTGTATCACCTTAAATTCAAATTGGCTTTTAAATTTGTTCTATCAAATTCTCTTATTTCAGTGTAAGTTATATTTTTTCGTTACTGAATTTGTATTTTTCAATATGCTGGAATTTGGGAATTAATTCCATTTCAAGAAAATACATTTTGTCTAAAACTGAAAAGTTTGCATCGATATACCCTGTACAGTTTTTGCTTTGATGGAATTTTAGACATTTTCCATTAACCTTGAATAACTGATCATTTTACTATTTCATTACTTCTGAAGTCACATCTCTGAGAGATACGGGTATCACTGTTGCTTGATTACATTTTTGTAGCTGGATGGTACATTGAGTATAGCAAAATCACAGCTGAGAAACATTTGAGTGTTGCTGGGTATTAACAATTTTCCTGTACGACAGATGTAGAATCAATTAACGCTGTTCAGATTGCGGCTACAATTTAGAGATAACTAATATATAAGCAGTATACCAACATGGTTTGGTATAATGAATGACATACATGTAAATAATTACAGGTGTATACATTCAATTATGAATATAAAACAGAATTAAAACAAGTTAACTCACCAGGTAAAGAAAGAAAAACAGGTGAATTACAGAGTGTGACTGCAGGTACTTCATTTTTGATAGCTGGCAGTTATATCACTTCTTTGTCTTGAATGGTGTAAATATATCCACTTGTAAAGGGTAGATTTGCGTTAAGAGATGCACCATCGCTGTTATTAACTGAGTGAAAAAGAAAACATGAGTTCACACCACAGAATCCAGCAGTAGACCTCATACATGATAACCAAACCCATACCTCGTCTCTCCGACAGCGGGACTTCAGATTCCGTTTCTGGAAACTGCGCGCTATTCTTAAATCCCTTCTGTAGATTCACTTTTCTTTGGCAGCTTACAAAATTGGCATTTGTAATCAATAATTTTTTCATAATTCAAAGTTGACATTTTTTTCAGCTATGTTAAATGAAGACATAACTCATCCTAAAAGTAGAATTTCATCTTACCCTATCATCCAAACGATGTTTTTTCGTAGCTCTGGTGGTTGCAAGAATATCTTCAAATTACAGGCGTAATGCAAGCACTGTACACTTTCATTTAGTCATTAGGGAGAGCGACAGCGGCTTAGAACTGTTCAGTGCAACAGATCCGACTTCCGAAATGTACAATTTATACAGGCGCAGAACTCCCCGCCGCGAAATTAACCTGAATATGAAAAACACGTAGTCCAAACAAAAGTTTCTGTGATTAAATTTGATAGATCTGCCCTGATTAAGATTAAATTTAATCGCTTTCTTGGCACAAGGATAGTTCAAGTCCAGCTTCAAATCTTATAAAACCCTTGGCATGCTTATGCGCTTGCGACTTGTCCCTCTTGCGGTATAAAGAGATTACCGGACAAATTTGTCTTAAGTGAAATTGTCTTGCCGGTAGTAAGAAATGTTTTCAGTTGAAAACCAGCTGTCAGTGTGGAAAGCTTGCCTGGAGCTCGCCTCGTCTTCCCTTGGTTCAGCAATGTGTCCACGAAAGGCTGCGCATTAAACCCCCTGCATCTGAACTGGTTGAGCCATTTGAAGACTGATACAGGACTCTGATGCGAGTTTAGAGAACGAATTAGATCTCCTTTTCAAGTTGGACCAAAGATTTATGCGCCTATGAAATGCCGGGTTCCGTGATTTTCAAGTTTTAACAACGCGTCAACTTAACCTGTGATTTAACCCCTTAGATTCGGGAATACAGTTATTGGAAAAGAAAAATCAGAATGCAATCTATAATCATTGTTATTTTATTTATAAAAATATTATAATTTCAGGGCATACGGTATGATTGCTTTGGAGTTTCACAAACCTGCTACATCTCACGGAACAATCCTCAAATTTCAGTTTTAATCCTCAAACTGAATCAGTGGCTAAACAGCTAACCAGAAGCCAAGACGCAAGTTTACCAACGAGATAAGGCCATTTGGTCCATCTTGTAGGTGGTAGCCAATTTCATCAAAGTATCTCATCCAGCCATTTCTTGAATGAAGAAATGTATCTACGTCAAACATGGTTGGGAATTGTGTTCCAGACTCCTGCATAAAGGGGGTAACATCAGACGGAAATGAGCTCACTGGTGGGGTACAACAGGTACCAGTTGAAGTATACCTGCAGTTCCTAAACTATATCAGCCTCAACTCTGGTAAAGAGCGAAATCACCAGATTCACAGAGACGCAAATGAGCAGTTGCAAACAGTTTTCTCTTTCTTGCGCAAATAATACTCCGAGAAGGGTCAGGACAGAACAGACCCATGAAAACGAGACTGAAAAAACTAACAGTATGCACAAAGAGTTACATGAAAGAAACAAGAACATAACCCAAGGGCCACCAGACAATCTAGGACATTTGGTACTGTAGTTAGCAATTAATAGATCTGAATAGCCCACCCAGTCGTGTCGTGACAGATGCCAATGTATCAGCATTCACAACATGGCTGCTTACCATGTTCAAGACTCCCACAAGTCCTAAGGGTTGATTTTCTGTCTTGGAGGATTTTGAATACTTTGTCAAGTCTTCTTGTAGTTTTCTCCATGTGATTTTTTTTAATTCTGAGACCTTATAAATAATAGCTTTATCACTTAAAGAATTATACAAATTTAATTCCATAAATACTTGTTTTTCCTTAAAGCTGTGAAGAACTGGGGGTAAGGTGATAAATTCAAAGAGGAACTGCAGTCCCAATTTCTCTGTTATTAAATCTTGGTAACTTGATTGACTGTATTGCAAGATTTTACATATTTCGAATTAAGCACAAAATCGTGAATTTTGTGAAAGTACAGCACTGGTGCAAACCGCTGGCCTCACCCAGCGAGAGTGAGAGTCCGTGCAAATTACGATGTGAAGTGGCCCTTCCTGCTCACTAGTCACTGTAATGACTAATGCAATCTATGAGCGAATGAGTACAGGTATTGGAGCAGATATTTAACTGCAGAAAGTTTCCAACATGCAGTGATCTACATACAGAGTTGACAAGTATTTTTCTGCAAAACCGAAAGTCGAAGTTGAGAGCACTATTTCTATTGGATTAAAAGAGATGTATTCACAAACCTGCTTGTTTACAATGCAATAACACCGCTTCACGTCATCGGAAGTTATGTTACCTTATTCTGAATCACAGAACATGGTGCTGCACATACTTGGAAATTTAATATATTTTGTGATGTAAATAAGGGGTTTAACAAGGTGCTGTGTACATTTCACTTTTATTGTGTTTTGAAATACACTCATCAATGCTGATTAATTCTAACCTCGAAATATAAACATAGCGTCGCAGTTCCCCTTTAAGATTTAAAATGTTGAAACTATATTATTAGCTTAATAGATCAATTAATACGTTTATACCCAAGCGTATTTAATACTCTAAATTAGAAAGTATAGTCTATAATTAGCTAAATAAACAGTTACAACTTTAATACACATCCCAGCAGTGACATCTTTCCCACCAGGCAATTTCCCTCAGGTTCTGACATTCCTGTTAGTGATAAGAGTAAACAATTGAACCCAAACAAGCAATTTAATTGCAGGACCGTCGGCAGTGTTTATTTTAATAATAAATCATAGAACTGAATATAATTTAATACTTTTTAGATAATTCATTTATAAAATATAACGATTCAAATATTGTGTAAAGACGTGCGTTTGAAATTCAGTACTTTAAAAATCTTAGTTTTAAGTGCATATATATATGATCCATTAAAAGTAAAAATTAATAATACAAAGCGATTAATTTCGTGAACTGTTTTGTGACCGACGTTTAAGCAGATCTGATGTTTTAGCTGACTCCCTTAAATGTAAAATAACATATGCCATGACTTTTTTAAAGGTGTTCTTATTTTTTGTAAATTATTTTTTACCTGAATATATGTTCCTAAATAAACGATTAAAAAAATAAACATTCTACCAGGACTACAGAAAAAACAGACTACAGAACGGTTTATTGGCGTCCTCTTGTGACCATAAAGGGTACTTTGGAATGCAATAGTAACGACGATAAACGAATACTAAAATTTAACTAAACTAAAACTAATGTCAGAATAGGTCAGAGAAGTGTGTAATACTTTATATTAGTTTTTTTATTTTACAATAGTGCCGTCATTATTTTGATTGCTCTATTGTAACACCTTACTTAATGGATTATCTTCTGAAGTACTAAATAAACATCAGTTTGTCCACAGTTCCATATTAATCCACGGCGAACCGTGCACTAATGAAAAACACATTAATCTCGTCCTGTGTGAATTGCACTGACACCTACTGAGATTGAGAGTGGGCTGTCAGTCTCCTGCTCATCTGTAAGGGGTTCAGCTCCAGGTTGTTTTAATTGGGGACAGAGCCTTCTCGTGTGATGCGCTATCTGTGGAGATCACTGACCCAATCCATTAACCTCTCTGACAGAAGACTTCTTCAATCTTGAATTCCGGTTTGTAATCCTGCGTAATTCAGGTTTTGCTGTTGGTTTCAGGCTTTCCCCCACAGTATTGCTTATATTACTCAACATATGCGCAATTTCAGAGCGCTTTGAGTTTGCAGTAACAAATAAAATGTATTTTTGTGATTTGTGTGAATTTTGTGAAAATACTATTCCTTATTTTTCAGTGTTTTCTTGTTTTTCTGGTCTTTAGAAAGTTTCAGTACATATGGTGGAGTTTAAAGAAGTCTGAAGTTATATAAGACTTTAATGAAACGATTTCCTTTTTACAGTACTTGTTCCCTGTGTTCTCCTTTCTTGTTGTTGACGTTTCTATTATGTTGTGGTGCAGGACCCCCTCTAGAGGCCAGCAGAAGAACCACAGCACAGTGGTCCTGCACACTGTCCCTGCTGGGTTTCATTCCCTCGGACCTCTGACTCTCCACTGCTAATTGATGACTTAATGGGCCATCTTGCTTGTGTAGAATTTTTTTTTAAAATTATTTCTTTTCTCAGTCGCCTGGCAAATACCTGACTTCAACGGTACTGTTCCAAACAACTTCAGAACACAAAACTACTCTGCCTCTCCTCAAATTGCTTGCCATTATTTCTCACCAAACTGAGTTGATCAATTTACCTATGCTGAGCAGACATTTGGGAATGACACTTTATCGGAGACTCCCATCGAAGTTTTTTTTTCTCCTGCTGAGGTCCAGTATGTAACATTTCAGGAAACACCTAAATGAGGGCATTTCTGAAACGCAGACACTGGTACAGGATTCATAACAATTACACTCCCATTTTACCTTCTAAGAGATTAAAGGAATTTTTAAATTGAAAATTATGTCCCAGATAGAAAACAGAAATCACATGGCCTGTGATTAAAACTCATCTGGTGCAAAACCCTGATGACTCTGTTTCCTCCTGCAAACCACTGTGGTAGCGACTAGATTAGCAGATCAGTGATAGTTTTGCAATTTCCTGCATGGGATTAATAAAGTATCTATCTAGCTTTTTATATTTATGTGATGAGGGCTTTGATAATGACAATTTTCTATTAAATGAAATGCCTTGTTTTATGAGGTAACATAATCCTGAAAATTGTTATATTTATATGTGGATTTCCTGCGTAGGCAGTAATATGTCCCTGGTCACAGGAGTCACCATGTTTTTAGCCATTAATTGCAGACAACCTCAAGCTTTGGATTCACCAGGGCCTGTTTTTGTGGCCCCAAAACTTATCTTCTAATGTTGATTTGACATTTAGTGCTCTATGAAGAATGGCAATTATAGGGTTTTAGCGGTAAGCTTTAACACTATTTTAACCTTTTTTTGCACGCAAGTGAGCTGCTTGTTTGCGCGTGTGGAGAAGCTCTCCTGCTCTGGCCAAACACTGGACATGAATCCCTCTGAGGGCATGTAGGCTATCTTTAGCCTATTCCTACTATGGAGTCCCACGAAACTCACGCCCAGAGCTTACAGGGACTGTAAATGTTATTCTCTGCTCGTAGTACATTTTGCTCCACATACCAGGACCTTCAAAGCCATCTACAGTGCTAATCCCACCCATGTTGCTCAGAGCTAGCTGTGTCACCAGGAGAGAAAGACTCCCTCAGTATTTAGTCTTGGAAGTGTCTTTGTTACTCTGGGTGTAGAAGCCATAAGGGTGTCTAACACAAAAAACAAGTCATATTTTTGTTGTTTCAAAATTTATTACTAAAGTTATCTTATACAATTCTTAGATTTTGTACAAAAATACACATAATCATGTTATAGCAGCACAATTATTTACTAAGTGCAAAGTATTCTATTATGGAGTGAAGGAGAAATTCAAGTATGCTTTCAAAAACTAAACAGTTAAAAATGGTTAGAGGTAAAAATTGCATTAGTGCTTTAATAGAATATTTTAAATGTATTCAGAATTTTTTACTGAGGTAAATTTGTGAGTTATTCAACCAATGAAACAGTAATAAAATGTATAACATGTACTATACCTGTAGTTATACTGTATATAATGATGCAGACATGTACATGTACTTCTAAGGAGAAAAAAGTAGATCTTGATTCACATAAAATATCAGAAAATATTTTTCCTAAACAAAGAAATCAAACAAAAGTTCGAACGATATGAAGTTAATTGTACAGGCCACATTAATGAACCCTGTACTCTGTGTGTAAATAATTTTCTTCTTAGATCTATCATTGAACAATAACTTCCTTCACAAACTGTTTGATCAGAAAATGAAAGCAAATTTACAAGTGATGCTTTCATTTTCAGCAAGTGATATTATATGATATTATTAGGGATAGTAAGTTTTTGAAGATTTCTCAGACACAGTTACAAATATCACATAACCAATGATGCAACTTCCTTTTTTTTAAATAAGGACAACATTCAATGCTTTCTTCTCCAATGCAAACTCAAATTATGCAATAAAAACACATTTGTTTCTCTTTGCTTTACCCAAAGCATCTCACTATATTTGCAATAAACGTATTATTAAGCTACTTATAGAAGCCTGGGATAACATTTTGCTCTAAAGAAAACCATTTTAAAAATACCCCCCCAAAACGTTTTTTATCTTGGTAAAATACATTTTTGTTTTGTTTTGTAGAAGGCTACTGATTCATAATTCATAATTTAAAAATGTAGAAAATTGCCCATCTACAATTTACAGTATCTAAATCTGCATTTTACAGTCATTACATTTTGTCCTTCCAGTCAGTCAGTGAAAGTAGTGACTGTCAAGATTCTTAAAGTGCTGGAGTAACTTTAGTCTATAAGGTAGGAGGAACCAACAGGTCATTTTTACGTTCAAGTATTTCTGTGACAGACTCCTGGGTGTGAAGGTGGAAAGACAAAAATGCTGTTTCATTGCCATAAGCAGTAGTGAGGGATTTAGAAAATGTTGTAATAAGAAAGGTTAATATGAAATTTATCTTTAGGTGTGTTCTAAGTGCTCTCCCTACCCTCATTTTGTATTGATCTGAAATGGTAAAGGCTTCTTTTCAGCGTGAATGTCTGACGATTGAGGTGCTGATTCTGACCTGTTTTTCTAGAGCCATGCACTTTGATTTTTTTCCCCTGACGCTTGCTGATTCACTTTGGTTCAGAATCTGCCTGGTATGAGAACATATAACCCAGAAAGGAAGCCTGAAGATATTGCTTCGAAGCCACAAGGTGCCATGATTCCTGTCTCCAGCTGGCACAGGCTTAGAACGAGGCGAGAGGGCAGCCTGTACAGATCCTATTGACAGGAACCACTGGGAGCCTCAGCTCTGATTACATCATGTGACAAGCAGGGGAGACCGGACTTTCTTTTAGGACTCTGGGATGCTGAGGTTTAGCATTTCTGGTACTAAAATAGTTACTGTGCCAGGCACTGCGTTACCCATTCAGTGTCACGTTTCATTTACAAAACACAGTCATTAAAACACTGACATTGTAAACGGAAAGTGCAGTTTCATATCTCTGTCATTAAAAAAATAAACATTGTCTTTTTGTACAAGAATACATATTGCTTAAATGTAAACATCAGTTCACAAAAGTATCTCAGACACAGTTTCTCCATGCTCAGTACAGTCCTGTCTGCTTTCCCCCTCACATTTGACTGTTTCTGTGTCAAACAGATGAGTGCTTTTCCCCTTCTCTGAGCTGTGAATAGAAAATTGCACGTTACTACAGACCATACAGTATGTCTTCAACACGGACATGGCTCAGGTTAGTGTTTGTTAGTAATGTAGGCTTTCTGTACACATACAACACATCTACAATCAGTAGTGCTTGAAAGTGGAACATAGAATGCATATGTAAAAAACATTTACCAAGGGTCATTGTACTCTACATAAAAAAACAAAAATACTGCAAAGTTTCAAATAAAACAGATGGTCTCTGTCATAATGTAGTGCCATTAGGGTCTAACGAAGCACACAAAAGGAAACTTAAAAAGTCTTAAACTATAGTGTTCATTACATGTGCATTTCATACGGCAATGCACAGGCTGTGCACTACTTCAGGTATTTAAAAAATGCTGTGGGTGAATGCATGGTGCTTTTCTTGCAAGCCACCTTCTTATTAATCGTAGAAACAGTCCCAGCTGAATGCTCAGTCATTTAAAGAGATACACATCAACACTTTCTGTTGTTTAAAGCCAGTGCATCTTAAGTGCTCCTGTGCATAAACACAATGAATAGATCAATGTAATGCCTTTGCTAAATTGTGCATTTAATAAGCACAGCATTAACGGCATTAATCTGACAGGTTTTAAGGCTTACCATTTTTCTTTGGTTGCCGAGACAGAAAGTGCATATTGGCCTAGGTGCTGGGTTACTGGAGCGAGTGCTGCTTTGAAGGATAGTTTGATATTTCAAACAGGGCTGTCCATCTAGGCAGTCTTCTCCTAAGAGCAGGATATTTGCCAGATGAGAAATGTAACTTGAAGCCAACCGCAGGGTCTCTATCTTGGATAGCTTGCGGTCGGCAGGCTCTGTTGGTATAAGAGTCCGGAGTGCTGTAAAGGCGGTGTTAACGCTGTGGGTTCTGTCTCTCTCGCGTGCGTTGGCCGCCTGGCGCTGCTTGCTCACGCCCGCCAACCTCGTCCGCCTCCTCCGGGCGCCCTTGCCGTTGTGCTGGCTGCAGCCGCTGGTGGACTTGTCTGAGCTCTCGCTGCCGCTGTCCAGCTCGTCCAGGTCCGAGGCCCCGCAGTCGGGGTGTCCTGCCCTCTCGCTCCCTGTGGACTTCATTCCGTACCTGGGCTGGGCTGGGACTGAGTGTGATCCATGGCAGGCAGTGGGTTCCCATCACTTTATGTGGAGTGAAAATAGCACCTGGGACCAGCTGCCACTGATCCGGTGACCAGTGTGCACTCCATCTCTTGGCAGTTCAGCGCTCCATTTTTTGAATGACTGATCCTTTTAGGATCCGCCATGTGGTCTCTCAAAAAGGAAAGACAGGTGGAGCCGTGGAGCACCTGTTCTAGTCTTTGGAGTCAAGGTTTATATATATCTCAGTGCAGTATGGTCTCTGCAGAAGCTGGGTGAAAGATACAAAACCTTCTGCCCTCTGCCTGAAAGACAGGTAATTACAGCTCTGCCAGCTGCAGTTTCTCCTCTTCCCTTCCCCTCTGTGGCAGTTTGTTCTTCTTTCTTTAGGGATGCTGGTCTCAGAGCTTGTTTCTCTCAAATCCTGAATCCAAAAAGTCCCATTAGAGGTGTAAGATAATCTTTTTTGTGTAAGACCATTATGACACAGGAATGTTTCTGCTCTTTAAAGCTGAATGTTAAATATTTGCTTCTCTCCCATTTATCAATAAAGTAACAATATTGTGTGTTACTTAAAATAAGTGCATTTTTTGTGTAAATGCAATAATTATATATTACTTTGCATCTTAACAGATATCTCAAAGACTAAGCCTTAGTTTCCATCTTTTGTGGAAAAAAGCACTTAAGTCTTTTAGTTCTGTATAATTACTTTCCTTTAGGCGTCTGATATGGATAATTTTAGTTTTCCAGTGAAATATTTTTTGACTACTCATTTTGGAGCTTTTTCCCAAGGTAATCTAATCCTACTTTATTTTACATTGCTTCTATATATCTCCCTCATCTTTTTCAAACTAAAATCACCGTCACATTGGTTTGACATCTTTGAAGTCATAAAGGTTTGTGTATACTCTAGATTCACTGAAATATTACCTAGCCTATAACATGAATGTTCTGTCAGATTTAATTACAATGACCTATGAAATAAATATTTCCATATGAAATGGTCTGCTATGGGTTAAACGGCACTAATGTGGTTCACGGTACAAGAAAAAAAGTGCCCTTTCGATTTCTGTTAGTCAAAATGACTGATGTTTACAAGTGCACTTGAAGACAGGCTTATTCCTGCAGGTGCTGGACTGGGCTCATGGGAGCAGGGAAACACCTACTGGGCTGGGACACAGGAAGACGGGGAGCAGACCCCTGGAAGATAGAATGCTTATAGCTTCCGACTGGAAAGCAAAAGCTTCAAGGATCAAAAGTTTACTTGAGTTCAGGCCTCTACTGGTCAGTACATCATGAAGAAAAGAAAATCGAGAATGAAAGTGAGGAAAATATGTAAAAATATTTTTCAAATCCAAAAGCAAAACTTTTAAAGAGTATAAATAAAAAATCCATTAAAGTCTATGGCATGACAGAGCAAAATTCGCTGACCTATTCAGACAGTTATTTTTCTCATTCTGTCTGTGCAGCAATATTACAAATACAAACAATATCTTCAGGAACCCTAAATCTGGCATTTTGCTTTCATTTTGCTGACATTGTCTTCAATGTTACATAGTTACAGCAGCAGGGAAGTGAAGAGGGAGAAACTTTGGTTCTCGGGATTAATTACTTTGGAGATTTGATAGATGTTCTCACTGCTATTTCAGCTGTTCACAAATGCAATCTTAATATTTTGATTTAGAATGATGAAGTCACTGAGGTTAACGCTATGATACGTGTCACGTAAAGTCTGCTACAGGAACAAAAGAAATGCAATAGTTGCAATAGTTCTACAGAGATTTTTATTCCTCGAGCCTTGTCACCTCCCACAGCGAGCTGGTTCCTCTTGTGATGAGTGAGCAGTACAGGTGTGCAACTTGTCCTCTAACTGTCCCCATGGTAACGGCTGCTTACCAGGACTGTGCCATCTTTAGAGCTGATAAAAATATCTGTGAATATACATGACACTTATATAGTGTTACTTCTTTAAACTTAGATTACAGCTACGTTTTAGAGTCCTGCAAATGGGAAAATTTGTATTTGTTTTTCAAAAGTGAAAATTCTGCAGACTGAATGTGCAAATTGTCTTGTCTTAATTAAACAATAAAAAAACAATAGTCCTAATAACAGGTGACTTTACATATCATTTTCATAAACTAATACTGCTATTGTATATTTAAATATTTATATGCCATCTTATACAATATATACTGTATATTGTACAGAGTTGTTGCCCTATATACTGCTCATAGATACTGCCTATTTTGCAGTCTTAGGAATTTTTTAAAAAGGGGCAAATGTTAAAAAACAGTGACATGTATTTGGTGCCCTGCAGTTTTAGCATTGTCTGTAAGGTTTTTCCCTGGCAGATAGCACCACCACATACTGTACTAATCACTAACCATCTCATTAGCCTTCTGAAAGGTCAGCACAGCTCAGTCAAGGTCTTTGTCCCCTTCACCAATTGACACATTTTCTGTAACATCAAACACCGTTTAACATTTCCTCAGAAATTGAAATATTCATGTGTAGTGATCTACAGCTTCCTATTTTGGTCAGAATATTTGAAAACACAGCTAATTCAATAACTTAGTTTTCTATATTATTCCTAATGTACTGACTTCTGGGCAAAAATACAGCACATATTTTGAAGATGATAAATTTTTGTATATATTTGTCAGGCTGAATCAGCTGTATATAGAATATTCTGAGGTCATGCATCCCTCTTTCAATAAGTACTACATCATGTGTTAATATTATTTTCAACCGATATATTTTTTTATGTTTTAAGCATATACACAATTTATAAAATTCTTATAAAATATTTGCTTTTTAAACTATAGAAAGAGAGTCCCATAGAAATTCTGGGACATTATATTAAAACATCACTCTATTTAGGTTTCCCATAATTACACATTTGAGCCGTTGCTATTATGTGAAACGACAACCTATACCTGGGTGTTTACAGTATGTACTTCAAATAAAAGTTTTGTACTGTAGAACTTTATTATTCGAGCCACTAGGTGGCACTAATTCCCATTTAAACTGTCATTTTTTATAAAACATTTTAAAGTGGTTCTTATGTTCATGGTGCAAACTGCACAATCATTAAATGTATGCAAACAGCTCACAATCTGTACAATGTGGATATATTAGCGTGATCTTAGCAGGACTGTAAAGATATATATTCTGGGGCATGAATGAGCAACAAAGGTGATATATTCCCAAAGGTGTTTAAAAATCTGTATGGACTATTTCCAACTGTGATGGTAAGGAGGGTGTTTTACTGGGAAGTAATTGAATATCATTGTTTTTTCATATTGATCAGTAGATTCTAGTTATTTTTATTTTTTAGTCATTCCACATTAAAATATTTCACCATTCTAGTTTAGGTAAGCCACACAATCCATGACAAATCAAAGGATTGTGTATTATGATGAGAGAACTGCTACATTGTAACACAGCAAATCAAAGTGATATTGTTGAGCTGCTATATTGTAACACATGCTGTAAAGGTGTACTACACAAAGGTGTGCACAGTGTCTACAGGTACCTGGTTGTGGAGAATATGCAGTGCACTCAAGAGGTGACCACGTTTTTTTACCCCAAAGCCTCTTAATTATTTACTACTGAAGGGGCTTTGCTATGTTTGTTAGAATGCTTCATTTTGTATTTTCTGTAACTCTTCATGATCCTAAGAGCAAAGTGAGTGGGATGGATATCCTGTACTGGCAGACAAAATGCCAGATGTGAAAAAATGACTATTGTGTTAGTCATACTTCACAGTTGTTTTTCTTGTCTTAAAAGTGAATAATCATTAAGTGTTGTGAATCACTTCACTAAATATATAGTACTTTCATTTTAACTTGCAAATCACAAATTGCACGGGATGATGATCTTCTCCTGACACTAGACCATCCAGGCCCTGTTTACTCCTGAGCCCTGACGTGTCCTCTGTGGGGAAACAAATTGAGGTGGCCATGTGATCATCAGAAGATTGTCACGTTTTCTTGGAGAGGCCTGCTTTTGTCAGCTCAGGCTGAGGTCCTGGCTGTCTAAGACTCTATCAAGCACTTTCAAGGTATTTATCCCAGCAGCCATATCACCCTGCAATTCACAGCTGGCAACCCACTGAAGCTCAGCAGGTGTGAGCCTGGTCAGTACCTGGATGGGAGACCTCCTGGGAAAAACTAAGGTTGATACTGGAAAAGGTGTAAGTGGGGCCAGTAGGGGGCACTCACCCTATGGTGAGCGTGGGTCCTAATGCCTCCGTATAGTGACGGGGACACTATACTGTAAAAAGGCACCGTCCTTCGGATGAGACGTAAAACTGAGGTCCTGACTCTCTGTGGTCATTAAAAATCACAGGGTGTTTCTTGAGAAGAGTAGGGGTGTTAACCCAGCATAACCCTGTATCCTGGCCAAATTTCCCAATGGCCCTTACCAGTCATGGCCTCCTAATAATCCCCATCTCTGAACAGGCTCCATCACTCTGTTCTCCTCCCCACTGAGAGCTGGTGTGTGGGGAGTGTTCCAGGTGGGGCTGCACACTGGTGGAGGGGATCCCCATTGCCGAAAAAGCGCTTTGGGTGGAGTGTCCAGAAAAGCACTATATAAATGTAAGCAATTATTATTGTTTTCACTGACCCAATGTGAGGTCCTGCCCTGGAGATCGATGGATGCAGACTCCACACTGCCTGTGTGCACTGTAAATGTGGGCTTTTTCAGCCAGTGCCAGGGAGAAGTCCTATTCACCCTGCTGCCCAGGGCTGCTCTCACCCAAGAGCAGTCTGCAGCCTTGTAGTGCTGGACTGAGTTCCTCCACAAAGGTGGAGAAAGTTAGGGTTATCCTAAGACACATGGGTAAGAATAACCCCAGAACTTGATATACACCCATAAACAAAAAAAAACAGTTCTTTCTTTGTTACTGGAAGGTGTTTATTAAACTTGGCAATGTTGGTATGTAACTTTTATCCAACCAGGCCTAAATTCAAGCATGCATAATCATCTGAAACTGAATAGGTGTTTGCACAGACTACATCTGTAACCAGAGAGCTGCTGATCTGTGATGCCTCCTTTGATTTAAGTACCTTCAGCCTTTCAGATGAAGCTACAGGTTATTAGGGTAGTGTCCAATGCAGACTAGCAGGGAGAGTGCAGAAA